TTTTTTTTTTTTGGTACATCAGAAGCTACAGTTCAGCTTACCTTCTAAGGAAAATGGTCCCTAGATGATCACTTTGTAAGGTCATGTGAATATCCACCGGAGGTGTGGGAAAAGATGTAGTGCCCAACGTTAATTCATGACCCATGGATGCCATGAAATCCGCAGCTAAATTCCCCTCCCTGAGAGTGTGTTGTACCAGGCAGCTGCTAAAGAAATCTATCAACACGAAGATGTCCGTAAGAAGCACCGAGGCTGGTCCGGCTGAAACCTGCCGATTTTGAATGAGTTGTATTGCAAGTAAAGAGTCCATTTCTAAGACCAACTGCTGTATCCCCAGAGAGTGAGCAAGCTTGAGACCTTCTCTGCAACCCCACAACTCAGCCAAGAAACTTGTTGTGAGACCAACGTTTACAGCAAAACCATGAACCCAACGCCCGTTGTGATCACGAATGAGTCCTCCAGCTGCTGCTTTGCCTGAGTGATGATTGTGGGATCCATCGGTGTTTAGTTTAAGATAAGGATGTGGTGGTGGGGTCCAAGAGACCCATCTGGGAGTTCTGGTGTCATGAATCAGATTAACTGATTCCAAGGCAAATCTTGATTCCAAAGCAAAGCTGTGAGCCTGGTTAGTAACAAGATGTGGCGGAATCCGTTGCCCTTCAAACACCAATTTGTTCCTACTCTTCCACAAGTGCCAGATGGTTGCGAGAAAGACAAATGGCCATAAGTCCGGAGAGTTGGTCTTTCGCCTTGGTGTGATAGCATTCCTTTTCAACCAAGAATCAAAGTTCAGAGAAAAGAAGTCAGTAGGTAGAAGACTCACCGACTCCCAAACTAGCCACGAGTAGAAACAGTCTCTCAGGAGGTGTAGAAGGGTTTCGGGTGATTGCTCACAGCGAGGGCACACCGGCGTAGGAGCCATGTGGCGCTCAAAGCGAACGGAGTTTGTGAGAACTTTTCCTCTCCAAAGCAACCAAACGAAGAGCTTCACTCTTTCGATGCAGCCTAAGTGCCAAATCCAGGTCCAGTCCTCAGGTCTAGGAGCATTAGGAATTCGAGACTGTTGAATAAGGCTAAAAGCTGACTTTACTGTGAAGTCACCACATGAAGCAGCATTCCAATAAATTTGATCATTCAAGTGTCCAGTTATTGATAACGGAATGGCTGCTATAAGTTGAAGTACATTTTCTGGAAGAAGATTAGTTAGTTGTATTAGATTCCAGTTTGAATTACTAATGATATCAGAGACCTTCATACCAAGTAGGTGCTGTGGGACTGGAGCTATTGTAGATTCCAGAAGTGTTGAGTTACCTACCCAGATGTCATTCCAAAGCTGTATGTTACAGCCAGATCCTACTCTCCACCGTGTTCCCAACTGTACAACATCTCTAGTTTTTAAGATGCTTCGCCACGTTATGGATGAAGAAGGCGTGGGCTTGCAACTAGAGAAACTCGCTGAATGCAGGTATTTATGCTTGATAGCTTGGCACCATGGCTTCTCACCCCCTGAAAGTATTTGCCAGCCTAACTTGGCAATCAAAGCCTTGTTACACTCTTTGGCAGATCTCACACTCAGTCCACCATATCTCCTCGGTAAACAGACATCATTCCAATGGACAAGGTGTGGTTTGTTAGTTTGTATATCTGAACCCCAAAGGAATTTGCGATTCAAGGAGTCTATGGCTGAACATGTGCTGCTAGGAAGGAGAACTGTTTGCATGGTATAGGTTGGTATCGAGGAGGTTACCGATTGCACTAGTGTTCTCCTACCCGCCAGACTTAGGGACTTCTGTTTCCACCCTGCAAGCTTAATCTGCATCTTTTCAAGAATATATTTGTAGTTACTGGCCTTGAACCTACCATGGATAATAGGCACCCCAAGGTAAATGCCAAGATCATGCGTCAAAGGGATGCCACAAGCAGAACTGAAGGAGTTTGCTAACTGTCCCTGGATATTTGGAGAAACAAATAACTTAGACTTGCCCAAGTTTATCTCCAATCCTGATCGTCTTGCAAATTCAGAGAGACAATCTATAATAGTTTCAATTTGAGTGATTGAAGCTTTCCCAAACAACATGAGATCATCTGCAAAAAATAAATGTGAGAGTGTTAGTCCCCCACGTGACAGTCGGAAAGGAGTCCATTTGTGTTCTTGCAATCGACTCATAATCATATAGGAGAGTTTCTCCCTCACCATAATGAAGAGGTATGGCGATAAGGGGTCGCCTTGACGTAGACCTCTCTTTGGCTGGAAGTAAGGTAATTCCTCTCCATTCCAAATGATAGAAAGCTGCAATGAAGTAACTGAAAACATGATCAAACGAACTAATTGATCTGGCAGGTTGAAATCAATCAATACTTCCCTGAGGTAGTTCCAATCTACACTGTCGAAGGCTTTATGGAGGTCTATCTTGAATGCTAGGGCCCCTTTTTTTCCCTTTTAGCCGCCTCATAGAATGGATAGCCTCTTGAACTAGAATGATGTTATCCGTTGTACTTCTATCTGCGAGAAAACTGCTCTGTAAAGGGCCAATTAGGTTCTGTAAGTGAGGACGCAATCTGTTAACAATTACTTTGGACAGGATTTTGTAGGCTACATTAAGCAAGCAAATCGGCCGAAACTTTTGTATCACATCCGGGCTTTCCCCTTTAGGAATAAGAATAGTATGGGCCTGTAACATAGTGAGCTCAAAGAAACCATCAGAAAAAGACTTGTTGATAAAGGAATGGAGCGTACCCGAAACAATATCCCAATGTTTCTGATAGAAGATCAGTTGAATACCATCAGGACCAGGACTTTTGAGACCTTTCATGGAAAAGAGAGCTAATTTAACTTCCTCCATGGAAATAGGAAGCAACAAAGAAGCACTATCTTCATCTGACATTTTTGGTTGAAAGCAAGAGTAGTCGATGCCAGTAGCTCTAGTCTCCTTTTGGGAAAACAAATCCACAAAAAAATCTTGGACATGATTCTTCAAGGCGATTGGATCTGTCACCCAAGAGTCATTTACTTTCAAGGCCGTGATTCGATTCTATGCTCTTCTTATCACTGTAGATGCATGGTAGAATCGTGTATTCCTATCACCAGAATTAATCCATTCAACCCGTGATTTCTGACACCAAAATAATTCCTCTGCATGCAACACTTTGTGATATTCCTCTAGTAGTTCCATTTCCAAATTCTGAAGGTAGAGGGAGTGATTGTAATGGGGGGAGTTCTGTATTCCCCTAAGCCGTGCTCTTAAAAGACGCTTGCATCGAAATAAATCCCCGAACACTGTTTTGTTCCAACTGAAGCAAGCTGTTCGAACAGCACTAATAGCCGAAGGAAGTGAGTGGTCATGAGTCATCCATGCATGACAGAACACCTCCTTAAAACCCCCATGGGTCAACCAAGCGGCTTCAAATCTAGGTGGTTTTGCAGCCCTTGAAATTCGATTAGGGGGATCAATGTTTAACATGATGGGATGATGATCACTGCATAGTCTTGGTAAATTGATAAGTTTTGCATCTGGGAATTCCTCAAGGCCAGCAAGATTGAAAAGTGCCCGGTCAAGCCTCTCCCGCAGGGTAACTCGACCATTTGTCTGACGTATCCAAGTGAACTTACACCCCAGTGAGTCCTTAGAGTGTAGATTACAAGCTTCTAGGTGTTCCCGAAAACGACGAGCACTAGTGAATCTATGCACTGCTCTAGGTGAGGCTTCGTCAATAGTAGCTATGTCATTAAAGTCTCCCATTGATGTCTCGCCTCAAAATTAATACCCTTTGGCTAAGCGGTTGTTGTAGCGTAGCATTAGGTGTCGAATCCACAGGGAAGCTATATTAAATCAACAAAAAGAGTTGTCACAATGAGAAATTAAATTAAAAGATGAATTCTAAAATTAAGAATAAAAATATTT